CATGTTTTCTCGAAAGCTATGATAAAGTGAGGAAAGCCCAAGGGATAGAATGGCAATGGGAAACATCTCAAGTTTCACCTCCTCTTAGATACATTGTTGACCGATACATGTACAGTGAGAACTTCGAGAGAGGTACGAAGTGATAAAGTGAATGTACCCATTTTTGTAAAGATCCGGATTTTGACCCATTTAAGATTTATTTATTGTACAGCTTCGCGGGTGCGCAATTAATCCGAATGTTTCGAGTCCAGACTAAATATGTAGGTGCGTTTTTAGAATCCGATTCCCAATTAGTCTTGTCCAGACTAATTACACTTTACACGGTAGCCAATCGAATTTTTATTTTTCTTTCAAACACCTCTAGTGTATCCATCTTATGAGCTCTTTAAGATACAAACCGCAGGATCTATGAACAACCATCTAGTCAATCAGAAAATGTTCACATTTATTGGCGAGTTTTTGCTGTGGGAGTTTTCGCCGAGTGGTGGTATTCTTCATCGACGTCGTCTAAATGTATATCGATCGGGTTAATGTACATTGGTCGAGTTAACTCCGTGCATAGGGCGAGTTAACAATGTGCATCGGTCAAGTTTAATGTGCACCTGCACGCAATCTCCAACCATTTCACCATAGCTTGGGGATTCCCCATCGCATTACTTCCAGATCACTTAGATTATTCGCACAACATACTACGAGGGACGGCTCCACAAAAACTCGAGCAGCAGACTTTTGCTGTTCAGCTGTGTGTGTAAAGCGTGACGTTGACGGCAGAATATGAAGCGTTTGGCGGGGTCCCAGGGTCCCCAAAAATATTCCGGTAATCTTGAATTATTTATTAAATTTTTAGTGTTTAAAAGGAATAACCGCAGTCACCTCATTTCAAGTTTGTTAGCACTTCTGTCATGACTTCTAGACCAAGCGGTGTGTCTCGCGCAACAGTTCCACCTCGAAGCCGTAAAAAAGGGCCTCAGCAGAGATGAATCTGCGATCCAGCGCGCGATCAGTATCTTAGGCGAGGCAGCGGTAAAGGAGATGAGAGAAAAGTGAGATTCGTGGTATACAAGTTACGGTGGAAAAGAATGGCAACAGTCTGAGGGAGTGATAATGCAGCTACCTCGACACGGACTGTCGGAACGGGTGATTAGGGCGATTTTACCAGTAGGCGGTGCTCGCGTTGGGAGATTGCGCAAAGTGCTGCAAGATGGAGTCGAGATACTACATACTCGGAGAGAGCGACCGAAACCTGCACACGCGTTTAACGAGATGGCCATTTCAGTATTTAAGCAACACTGCACTACTTGGATTCTTGAGGACGGGTTTCCGTGTGCACACAGGCCCCACCGTCAATAATTTACAGAGCCCGGGCTCACATGGAAGTTTGTTCATTCCCGCTACAAGGACGATGTTACCTGCGCCAACCCTCAGGCTCGGACCATGAGCTA